AGACAGAGAATTGTTGGACAGATGAGTTCTTTCTCTGTCCCAAGTACTCACCCTCACATATGCATAAAACTGGAATACAATGGGACAGAGCATCTGGCAAAAGGGAAACAATCACAGAAGACCACTGTAGCTGCTTCTTCCCATGCTCCACCTGGTCTCATCTCCTGATGTACAGAAACCCAGATGGGCAAAGCTAGGAGAAAAATTACCTCCCTTTATCCATCTCATCCAATCAAGCCCGTGATACAACCCAGGATAAAAGTTCAAGATCAAATCCTGAATAGCTCCCTCCCCCATTCACTATGTACCCTAATGGTAGCTTGTCCATAAATCTCATTGGGGCTCTATCCCATCTCAGTGCTCACCACTGACTATTTTTACTTGTCTCCTTACCAGAGGCAGAGGGCCAGGGCCATGCCTGTGTGCCCACCTGTTGTATCTGTGTGTTCACCTGTGCTGTGCCTTCTGTGCCCCCCTCCCCGGCACAATGAGTAGCAGTTACCACTGCATTCAGTGACCATATTGTTTTCAAGCTCACTGTGGGAAACAGTTTGGGCAGTCAGCGCTCTATTGCACTCGTGCCTCCCACAGTAATGTTAACAGTTTGATCTTCTCCATGCTGGGTGTGTGCTATCAGACTGCAGAAGACTGCTGAATACCCATAAAACTATCTGTTATCACTATTTGTATCTGAACTTTTATCCAAAATTAATAATTGAAGATTACTTTTTCCATTCATTGCCTGTTTTGTCTTTACAACATCTCCAAGGTTCAAAGCAATCAAAATCTCAGTAACACTGAATTATGTATGACTGAACGATCCATGGCTTGCAATATTCAGCTGCAGCACAAGTAGTATCTCGTGTCAGCTCAGTTGAAGTGATGCTATTGATCTGATTGAGATAGTCAACAATCCAATAGTTCTGATGGATTTTTTTCAGAGGGATTTGGACACAGCACATGCCATAGGCAGGCATTAAGGTGGGTGTGCATTGAACAGAAGGAATTCCAACACATTGATTTATTTTTAAAAGAAAAATATAAGTTTGGTGGAAATTACTATATGTGTTGCACCTTTGTATAAGGTGCAACACATATAGGATGTTTGAATTTAGAGATAATATTTGTCTATGCCTGAAATATTGGTTACTATACAGAATGCCAGAGAAACTGAGTATCTGAGAAACAGGAAACTAATGTGCATCCAAAGAGATCGCTAAATAGAAGTACCTAGACGAGGAAAAAAAGTTATCCAAGGAAATAGCTGAGTTACTATTATGATCACACACACACTTTTATGAGCAAACAGAAGACAGAGGCTTGACCTAAGTAGAACAGTCAAGTCCAATTAAATACAATCATAATTTAACAAATAGTCCCCAGCAAATGCTGAACACCTTTGTAAATGGATATTGTTCAATGGTTAAACAGATCAATATGAGGCTCCATTGCTTTGTGATATGCCATTTGCAGAGGAGCTATGTCTCCATGTACGACTGGGCTCAAGAACAGCCTTTCTTAGCCTGGGCCTAAATCTGACTGCGGATTACAACTATATAGACTCTCTAAATAGTTGCTGAATGGAATCAATACTTCCACAAATTCCAGTGATTCAATGGTCTTCTCTGGTTGGGCCTATCAGTTGCATTCAGACCATGCTATACCATTACAGAGTTTTACGGATTACAGCTACTATACTCTCTGACCGTCAGCTATGCTGCCTTGGTGTGTTAGGAGCTGTAGTCTAAAATACCTGACACACATCCAGTCATGGAAGGCTACAGTAAAACAATCTAAAAGTCATGTACCAGGAGGCATGGATTAAAATAAAAGAGGTGTGTGGAAAATTTGTGGCCCTCCTTATTTTATTAGAACATTAATTCCCACTAACTTTCACCATTGACATATTGCCAATAATTGCTGGCAATTAAATCTGACAACACTTAGGGACCCCACAGTTCTCTAACTACTGGGTTAAAAGATGTAGTCAGGATAGATACCAGAAGGGGACCAATAGATTGGGTTAGATGAATTTTCCCCAGTACATTAATGTCCAAGCTGGATCCCTCTAGATGTACATTACAACAACTCCCATCATTCACAACCAGTAAAGTCTTGGGTGTTACTTGCAGCTAATGGGAGGTGTAGTTAGCCTTCTGGAAAAAAACAGAAAAATATTACTCAGGGCCAATCTTATAGCCAAAATCCAACTGGATAAAAGCTACCTGCAGACAGATAATCACATAACAACCTGTTCTTCCCCCTGAACATCACCCCCACTTCCCGGTACAATCCTTCAGATAACTGGTCACATGCCCAAGTCTGCAACCAGTGGAAGACTGAGTGTGCAAAGGAGAGTTTGCTGAAGTTTGGGAAATGCTTATGAAATTGCCGTTACATCCTCATGTGAGTTAACAGGATTCTGCCCTGCTACAGATAACACATCATCATTCTAGCTGAAATCATGTTAGTGTTTCAAAAACAGGATTCTGGCAGATGGCTGTGTCTGAGAAATCAGACCTGCAAACAAAGTCCATGTTTATGCCCAGAAGACCAATCATGAAAGAAAACAAATTTGCAAAGAAGGGGAGGAGTGAAAAGCTCCTGCTTTTAGCAACCGAGGAATCCTCTATTCTAAGGATGGACCGATTGCCTCTTACATATAGCTTGACTCCAGACATAGTTCAAGCCACAGTATAAAGCTGCTTAAGAAATCTGCTATGTAAGGAGCCAGAATCATCTTTCTCAGTGCATCATGACATTGGAAGTCAAAGGTCTGCAGTGGAGGACTTTGTGACAAAGACCAGCAACTAAACACCTCAAACTGTTGCACACTGGGAATTTATTTAAGAAATTCATGTCCTATTTCCTCTAACCAAAAAGGCATCCCTCAAAGTAATTTAAGGACTACAAACAGCAAAACAATTAAAATCATCCAACACATTTGCAACAAGGTAAAGACTGCAAGACAAAAAAGCATAATAAAAACAAAATATCCAGAAATAAATAACAGCAAAAGTAAAATGCCTGTTTAAATACTATTTTCTCACCAAACTTGACAAAGATGCATATTTTGTCCTGGCTATGCCAAATGAATTTGTTCAGGTTCACAAAAGGAAATCTTGGAGGGCTTATACCTTGCAGAGGGTATCTTATATGGAGTACTTTTAAAATAAAGCTTGTATTTGGGATTGTTTTAAAAATGTGATGCTAGTATTAGTCATACTCTTCTTTGGCTCTTTTAATATTAATAAAGCTTATGGACACCAAAATTCGTCTATATGGTTTGTGTATATTTGGTAAGTCAAGGCCAGCTTCTCAGAATTCTGTTTTTGAGGTTGCTGCAGCAGAAATAAAATGATTTTCTTGTCAGATTCCTGGGAGACTGCAACAATTCTGTTAATAGTTTTACATCAAACTCTCCTTTCTACATGCCTGTCTCTTTTAGATGTTGAATCTGGAATTGGTTCTAGTTTCTTTTTTAGAACTGCTTTAATGATTTACAGCTGAAATGCTCTAGAAGGAATAACACTGTCATTGTTTAGTTTTACCATTGAGTGAAAGAGGCAATTGCCTCACACAGCAGATGTTGGAGGACAGCAGAAAGGTGCTGGAGCAAACAGGTGTGAACTACATAGCATTTCCAGCATCCTCTAAGCTTGCCAGCATTATTTAGGTTTCATAGCATTGCCCCATAGCCCATGTAGAAGAAAGCTTCAACTTATTGTCTAAAATGGCTTTTATACCGGAAACAGGAGGGATACCATCTTCTCCTTCATCTCAAACAGGAAAATGTCAGTCCTATTATTTATATTTATGTATGGAGTATATTGGGAGTACCCAGTGTGGTGTAGTGGGCAGAGTAATGGACTAGAACTCAGGAGATATGGGTTCAATTCCCTGGCTCTGACTTGACAGCACATAACAACTGACTGAGTATATTTACATATTTTTGTCGACCATAACATATTTGCCCCCAAGATCTAAGGAAGAACAAAATTATACATTCAGTTTCAGTTGCACATCTGTTATGTTTTTGAAAGAGTTGTTTCCAAAAGGCACACATTTATTGTAGTCATGCTGATCTTTATAACTAATTGCTAAAAACAAAATAATGCACACCAAAGAATAAAATAAAAGGGCCCATCTCCCACATGGCTGATTTTGTACTGTGCAGGAGACTGTAATCCAAGTCACAGCTTTATAAAGAGCCCTCAGAAATTTTTAGCATGAAAGGCACTATACAACAGTCTAACCCTTATTTTCATCATAGCCTGGGATACCAAGTGATTATCCACAGTGAACTGTGGCTTGCGAGCATAGTTTATTGTGGTTTTTTGAAGGGTAGGTTCTATACTGCTAAATCTAGAATTTCTGTTTGACTGTACTTATTCTAACTATAGCTCTTCAGACAAAACACAGCAGCGTTCTTTACCACAGGGCCCAGACATCAGAGAGGGTAACCAGCAGCTGGGAGTTCCTTTTTCCCTACATCTTTAATAACTGCAACAGATGTTCAGTTTTTACAATGCTGGAAGGAGGCTTAATATCCAGTATACCCTAATGTGCCCAATGCCACTACTGTACCCTCACATAATATGAACAGATCACAGGATGAAAACATGATGGGTGTTTGTTATTGTTATACTGAAAGCGGTCAAGTAAATTCAGAGTTATGGTGATCCCTGCAGGGTTTTCAAGGTATGTGAGATGTGAGAGTGGGTTATCATTCCTGCACCCTGTAAGTTTCCATGGCTGAAAAGGGGATAGGAAGCGAGGTTTTACAAATTCTAGTTTGAGACTCAGTCCACATTAGCTCTCTTGATGCATGTTAAATGTTTTTGTTTGTTTTTGAGTGTGGACAACCTAGCCCTCTATATATTTATGTAGTAGTACATTCTAGAGAATCCAGTGAGAGTTACTTTTAACAACAGGAAAGCTGGAGTTTTAGGATCGCCTCTACCATGTGCACATCTGCAAAATTTTTTTTCATGGTTAGACATCAGAAGGTAAGTGGGGGTTTCATTTGCAAGAATGATTGCCCTGGCCTGCACCTTTGAGAGAATCATGTCACTGGGGGACCAATGCCCCATCCAAGAAGAGGTTGTTTTCCTCCCAATGCCATGCTTTTTCCAGCACCAGGGGAAGACATTTTCATTTTCACTGGTGTTTCAATCTAAAAATTATTTATTGGAAGTTTCTTTCTACTAACAATGTATATTGTTGCTGCTTTACTGTTTTTTTAAAATATAACAATTAAAAAAGATTGTGATGTGGCATGCAACTGTTGTGTACTGGAAGGAGGTTCAAATGCTTGAACAATCTGAATGGTTCCATTTTGACTCACAGTTAAACGCAACCTCTGCTAAAGTTATGGGATATAACTATATATACATATGTATAGCTGGAGGAGTGAAAACTTTTCCTTTCTGTAGAAGAGACAATTGAGAGACCTCTGCTTAAAAAGAAAAAAAAGGATTCCCTGAATCCCATTGTTTTATATAATGTTAGGCCTCAAATATTTCGTTCTGGGTCATTTACTGGGTCATTTACTGGGTTTAAAACTGCAGCATAAAATGTGCATGAGGTCTACTCACTACATGGCATTCAATGAGATGCATGTTCAACATATTCCCATTATGTTACATTGTATTGTGCACAGATAAATCTATGCTGGACTGTGGCGGATATCGTCTATACAATCCTATGTTCTTTTTAAGTGTAGCACACAACACAACAGATTAAAACAGTCCTCCTGCTTAAATCGCCAAGCAGTGCCCTCAACTCTAACAGACAGCATAGTCACTGGTTGTAGTTGCAGGCCATTGAATTATTTTTTTTTCAAAGTTCTGGCCAAAAATGTTAAGTCCTAAAGACTTCCGAGTTCAAAACGTGCAAGATTACACTACAGAACCAAGTGATTTTGGACTGTTGTGAGTAGTGGCTACGGAGATCCTGGAATGCTTCTTCAGGAGACGATGAGACAGAAAAGGTGAGAACAGAAAACGCCAATAGAATTCAGCAACTGGCTTCTTTCTCTTTTTCTTTACAACATCAGCCTCCAATAAAAGCTGGCTGCTGGCAAGTCTGCAATCAAGCATCTGACTTCAGATGTGAAAGAATGTAGGAGGCCCTGCTTCCCACCCCCCTGACTCAGAGCTTTCCAAGGGAAATAATGTTTCCCAGCTGGCCAGTGATTTTAGGATGGCAGCACCATTTTACCCCCTGCTTTGGAGACATGTTATGAACAGAAACTGACATCCCAACAACATTATTTGATGACTATAACAGAACTTCAGATATAATAAAAGGCGACACTGGATCTTCCAACTGCTTTTTAGTAAGAGGTGAATCCAAAGGACTGATATTGTCGCCATAGAAGTGGAAAAAACAAAAGGGGCGCAGAAGCATCTCCCTGAGTTCCTAAGCCTACAGATTGACTTCCAGGGGTCATTTTAGCACTGTTTTATATGAGGGTCAGCCATACCACTACCCAGTCTGAACAGGCTGCCTTAGACAGCAGATGCTGGCAAGAAGGTAAGTGTGAGAAGGCAAAGTTGTGTATGCTGTGCATGTCTGGAAAAGGGTAATAAAAACAGTAAAAGGTTTAAAAACCAAGTGTTATGAGATCTAGTTGAGGGAGTAGAATATGTTTAGCTTGGAGAAAAGGCAACTAAAAGGTAATAGGACAGCCATTTCCAACTATTTGGAGGATTGTTACATAGAAGATAGCATAGGGCAGATTTTCTGCTGTTATATAGAGTCATGGGCCAAGTCAAGTGGATCCATATTAGAGAAGATTCTGCTATGTGGAAGAAAACCCTGACACCAAGAGCTGTTTAACAGCCATGGAACAGACTGCTTCACAAAGTGGTGGGCCCTCCTTTGCTGTACATTTTTAAACTTAGCCCATCTCTCAGGCATGCCCTAACTGTGGATTTCCTGCCCTGAGATGGGATGGACTAGGTGGTCCTTTGGTATACAGCCAGGTCCACAATGCTACAATTGTATGACACAGAATATTTCCTGTGCCCCCTAAACTAGCCAAATAATACAAGAGGTAGTGGAGGAAGCTGCTGTTTTGCCAGTGTAGGACCAATTGTCTCGTAAATGGGTAGGGAAGCCATTTTGTTCTTTGCTCCAGGCAGCAATAGATCTTGGGCCAGCCCTGATTCTATGCACATGGATTTAATATTTCATGACTACAAAATAGTTATAGTCCTTGGGCCACAGTACAGTTTCTCCTACATCCAAGGCCCCCAGGCTTCACTTGCTTCTGGATCACAACGAGGGTCATCATCTGGGTAAAACACAGGAACAGAGTTTTTATAGTAGTGCTGGAGACGTAGCAGAAGCTTTTTCACAATTCCTGGATATTGTTCAGACACATCTTTTCTTTCCTCAGCATCATGAACAATATCATACAGCCAAAGTTTCTTCATTGGTGGGTCAGATGACAGGGTATTTGACTCATTGAATAAAGATGGTGGTGGAAACCAGTGACCACAACCTATGAAGAAGATCAAAGCAGATCAGAGATTAGTTGGGACCACATAAATTTCATAATTTGTTTCCAGCATATCTATAGATTTGGCTTGTTTAACTCCAATAAAGTGGGATTGATTTTGTCATCGGAATTTGGAGTTTTTCATTATTATTATTTTTGACTGAGATCTTTCATCTGGAGAATACTAGGCACATTCAAAACTGGACATTAATTTGAGTAAGAAGAGTTGTGGAAGGAAAATCTGTGAAGAGTTGTCCACCACAGAGAGATGCTTAGGTGCAGTTTGTTAGTTTTTGTTTTCTTTTGATGCTTCTTTCCTGTTTCTAACTGGGCCTCGTTTATTCTTCTTTACTGATTTTAAGACCGCATGGTACAAAAATCAGCAAAGGAGCTTTGTGTCAGAGTGGCAAGATTGGCAGGATGAGAAATCACACTGGAAAAGATGCTGATGTTGGGAAAGTGTGAGAGAAAGAAGAGAAGGGGACGACAGAGGATGAGATGGCTGGACAGTGTCTGCGAAGCAACCAACATGAATTTGACCCAACTCCGGGAGGCAGGAGGGCCTGGCATGCTCTGGTCCATGGGGTCACGAAGCGTCGGACATGACTTAATGGCTAAACAACAACAATATGTTTTTGTTTATACTTCACTGTAATTTCTTACTGCAAACCACCAAAGTGGGATACACTTGTACCAAGAAAATATATATATCACATAAAAATGTATGTGTCTACAAGACAATTCTAGCTCTGTGCTTCCAATGTTAAAATGAGACCTAGTAGCAAATCAGTTTTCATACTTGTATGCCCCTTACTGTTTCAGCTGGTAAATGGTAGGATAGCAGTACAGTACTCAATACTGCTGCTAGACCACATTTATGTAACAAATACAGCTGGTACAGGTGAGATTTTTTTTGGGGGGGACATACTGAAGGAGCATGGATAATCCTTATTCGCAGAATAATAGAATTGTGAAGTTGGAAGGGGCCTCTAAGGACATCAAGTCCAACCCCTGCTCGATACAGGAATTCAAATCAAAGGATATCTGCCAGGTGGTTCTCTAAGTTTCTCTTGAATGTCTGCAGTGTTGGAACACTCACCAGCTCTGGAGGTAATTGGTTACTGTCTTACTGCTCTAACAGTTAGGAAGTTTTCCTGGTATTCAGCGGAAATCTGGCTTCCTGTAACTTGAGCCCATTGTTGCGTGTCCTGCACTCTGGGATGACCAAGAACAGATCTTGCCCCTCCTCTGTATAACAGCCTTTCAAATATTTGAAAAGTGTTATCATATCACCCCTCTGTCTTCTTTTCACATGGCTAAACATACCCAAAGCAAAGCATGCTGCTTAAGCACTTATGCACTCTTTGTGTCTTTTACAATTTTATTATGCAGGCTACACATTCCCACCCCACCCCACCCATGAGCTGGGTACTCAGTTTACCAACCTCGGAAGGATGGGAGGCTGAGTAAACCTTCTGCCAGATGCCTGAGCCCATAGGGATTGAACTCAGGCCATGAGCAGAGTTTTGACTGCAAGTACTGCAGTGTTAACTATTGTGCCACACGGTTCAGTGAGGTCAGCTCTCTCCTTTTAACCTCTGATATATTGGTTGCTATCCAAGCTAGTATACTAAAGCAAACAGATCACAAACTTAATATAGCAAATATTTATTAGAAGTATGATATGTGAAATTTGCAAAGGATTACCTGGATTGCCTGTGAGTAGTTTCCACTTTCCATGTCGAATTGCAGCATGTATGGAGGTATTAAAAATTGAATCTTCCCATGAAAAGGAATTATTCAGTGCCAAAGTGCTTTTCCTGTTGGCTACACCTAAGATGGAAAAGAAGAAGATCACAGCTACATCCATTATCTAATTATACTGTTTGTGTTTAGAATAGTTTTAGCTTGCAGCTGATATGATGCACTGCAATGAGGCACTGAAAACTTTATTTTAGTAGGAAGCACATAGGCTGCAATTATAAGCATACACAGGACTGAAACCCAGGGATGGTTCTATCATTCAGCAGTCAGTTGACTGGATGGCACTAAAAAAAAGATGACAAAATTGTTAGTTGTTTAATTTATTACTGCTCTGTTGTAACTGCCAAGGAAGAGGGATTTGCTTGCAGGGGTTTCTGTATCCACTTTGGGTGACTAAACAGTTTGGCTGGCCTTAAGTACTGTATACTTTTGATGTGGAATAGGATGCTATTCACTGCTCTGTGTCTGGGAGTAAAATGTATCTTGTTTTAATGTACTGTACTGTATTCTCGAGTAAAATGTATCTTGTTTTGTTTGGCAAAAGTGAGGCTTCAGAATCAGAAGTTGATTCATGAAGGAGCAAATTCTTTGCACTCCAAAGACAGCCACTAAGTAAACCTGTAGACAATTTGCATTAGTTAATCACTCTACTTGTTACTAGGGTATTTATGTAATCAGCCCTTTGAAAGTTCATTACCTGTGTTAATAATGCTATTAACACTTTGAAAGTTAATTATCTCTGCCTGCAGCCCTCTTCACTTGGTCTCCACTCTCACAATCAAGTACACCATTATAGAAACCCCTGACTAAATACTGTACTCTTGTTTGAGTAAGTGTGTTGGACTCCACAAAAGCTAACACTGAAATAAACAGTAAAGATGGGCAGAAACATTCCCCTCCCCTCAACTCCCAAGCCAAATATCCACTCACTAGCCAGAATACGCTCCTCTCCTCTTCTTTGGCTGTTCGGCCAGTCTCTGGCAGAAGGATCTCCACAAAAGCTAACACTGAAATAAACAGTAAAGATGGGCAGAAACATTCCCCTCCCCTCAACTCCCAAGCCAAATATCCACTCACTAGCCAGAATACGCTCCTCTCCTCTTCTTTGGCTGTTCGGCCAGTCTCTGGCAGAAGGATAGTTTTTGCCTGTGCTGCCTCCTTGTCTGAGTGGGCAATCAGCCAAGTGGCAGGGCAGGGAAGCTGAAGAGGAGGACGAGAAGCACACACTGAGGGGTGAGTGGGAGATCCAGCTTTGGGGGGGCAGGCAAAGAAAAAGTGTGGCACCTCTGGTGCAGTGCATACAAACCAGCAGGAACCTCTGAACCGAGGTACGTGTCCATCTCTACATGGTAGTTTTAAAGGTGACACTTGGGTTTAGGTTTTGTGCTAAGTGCTCACACTGTGGCGCAACACATTGTACAATTTTTAATATTACAGCCATTCATTCTTTTAGGGCCATCTGGGCCCAAAGGGGGACCTTCACCCCAAAATTTCAGATGGGTCCCCTTCCATCCTGATCATGAGCTGTTGCTGCATCTGGGTTTATGTACATCTTTGGCCTTCAGTTTCTTATTTATTTATTTATTTATTTATTTATTTATTTATTTATTTATTTATTTATTTATTTATTTATTTATTTATTTATTTATTTATTTATTTATTTATTNNTAAGACCACTCTAGGCGGCTAACAATATAGAAGCCTTTTCTATTATTAATACTGAATAAAGATGTTTTTAGAGGTTTCTGTTATGATCAAAATTAGTTCCAAATAAAAGCTGTCAATGTATATTTCTTTCAGTCTCCCTTTTTTTCTTCAGACATTGGTTTAGCCTACTTAACCACCATCTTGTAAGAGAGAGACAGAGACAGAGACAGGGTGTATGTTTTTGTGCATTTCAGAAAGAGATTAGGCATCCTTCAGTCAAAAGAGACTATGGTAACATGCTCTGTATGGAGGACTTGGAACAGTGGCTCAGTGTGGCTGAGAAGGCCAATTTGAGAGTGACAATCCCTTCCACACTGAAGACAAATACAATCTGTCCCATGTCCAGCTCCCTGATTTTGCTGGTTTCGAGACTGCCTCTTTGCCTTGGCCTGCTGGACAAGGGTCTCTTCAAAATGGGAGAGGCCATGATGCACCGCCTGCCTCCAGGCTGAATGGTCAGATGTCAAGGTTTCCCATCTGTTGCAATCCATTGCTAAGGCCCTCAGATCCCACTTGCAGATATATGGTCTTCCTCTGGGGCGATTTCCCTGTACTAATTCTCCATACAGGAGATCTTTTGGAGTCCAACCATCAGCCATTCTCACAACATGCCCAAGCCAATGTAGACGTCGCTGTTTCAGTAATGTATACATGCTAAAAATTCCAGCTCATTCTAGGACTACTCTATTTGGAACTGTGTCCTGCCAGGTGATACCAAAAATGTGTTGGAGGCAACGCATATGAAAGGTGTTCAGCTTCCTCTCCTGTCGTGCACAAAGGGTCCAGGACTCACTGCAGTATAGGAGTGTGCTCAGGACACGGGCTCTATAGACCTGGATCTTGGTATATGTCGTCAGCTTCTTATTGAGCCATACTCTCTTTGTGAATCTAGAGAACATGGTAACTGCTTTGCCAATGCATTATCGGCCTCAACATCTAGGGAGAGAGTGTCGGAGATTGTTGAACCAAGGTACACAAAGTCATGAACAACCTCCAATTCTTGTGTGGAGATGGCAATAGAGGGAGGTGA